ACACATACCATACCTGCTTCATATACTCACCAGGGCTAAGGTCAAGAACACCCCAGTAGAAGCAAATACTCACAGCAATCAGTCAAGAGCAAATAAACATGCGATGGAGATATCATATAGGATAACACAGATCTTTTCAAAACATGTTCACACAGAACAACAGATTAATACAAAGTTAATCAACATGCCAACGCATACGCAACAAATGCATAAATGACCTCATGAAGAAGATCTCACCATACTTATCATATCCCATTCCGTGTTGCTAGCTCCTCGAGAACATAAATCTCACCTAATCGCCCACAATGCTCACTAGATTAATCACTCAAAACCATGTCTACCTGGTAAATCTCTATAGATCCTAAGTTCTCGGGATAATCCTTTATCGCCACATCACTTCTCCAACCTAAGTGGATAATGGGTCTCCACCTAATAGAAGTGATAGAAGTGCCTCACTCGTAATCCACCTGATCAGTGTCTCTTACAGATAAAGGATTCAACATTTGATCACATCTCCACATCCCACGATATAAGCCACAATGTACCCCTAGGCATCTATACTCCACCTTACCAAAAGACATACACACACACTGCCAAATGCATCCCAAATCTATTATGACAAATCAACACCTTTCGGCAACCACAAAGGTTAGGGCTCAAATTGAAATTTGACCCACGCACCACAGGGTTACTCCAACACCAATGCTCTAACTAATCCACAAAGTATTTATCACACAAAGGAAAAGGTGAAGGTGGCACTCACAAAGAGAATAGAAGAAAGAGTTGGTTACTTCACTACACTCACAAAAGAGGCTCACACAGAGAACGAAGATAACCCTCACACGCTGCCTCACACAATCTCACAAACCACAAGGCTCACATAGATGAAGGAGAAAACGGCTGCCCCTCTTACTTCTCACTACCACACTCTCACACCACTCACAGAGCAAATGGGAGTACGCCATAGATCTCAACCTACTATGCATGCAAATACGTTACACCAAGTAATAAGATCACTCCAATTCATGCCAATGCACATATCAAACACATTGAAATGCAACATATAGCCATGCAGCGAAAATGAGCAATCAAACACATGCAGAAAGGATTACACATGGATGCTCGTGCAGTAACTAGGCTTACTCTCAATAAACCTCACACAGTTCATAACTTGACCCAATGACAGAATACGCATCACGACTCTCCTAATCTTCTCTTTTATTACATTCATAGGACAGTCTATTTCAACCAATGTCCAAAATTACCGCAGTTAAAATACATCTTAATTTTCGCATTTGTCTTAGACCACATTTGCCATCAAAAAGTTTTATTAAAAACATTTTCGTTTTGCCAAATTAAAAANACTCATAATGTATCGTCATTTTACCAAAAAAAATGTACAGAACAAAAAATGCAACCAACAACAACCACAAGTAAAGTACCGATACAATTCACACAGAATAGTCAAGTAAACTTTTCTAAAGTCACAGGCAATTCTAATAATGAAAAATTTTAATTGGCAACAAATTCACAAAGAATTTAAGGCAAATAATTAACATGTAATTTTTAGATCTAGCAATAGGCAATGGTTACCTCTTCAAGGTAACCCCAAACCTAACGTCACCCCACACAATAACTTCTAATGCGAAAATTAAATTATCATACACAATAATTTTAACTGCAATAATAAAAGGTAAAGACCACGATACCTAGCGGACCACGTCTGAAGGTCCGTAAATATCGAGAGATGCGAATTCATCACTTTAGGACCATCATCATTCATCCTAAAGTCTCTAGCAATCGCGACAAAACGAAACGACACCCGGCACCCGAGCGTCCAAGGGCAAAATCATCCAACTTTCACCGTATTACCCGAAACTGAAATCCGTCAACACCGTTCACGCGCTAGAGGTGGCTCAGGCGGCATGTCACCCTTCCGACATCTTCTCCGCCTGCTAAGTCCAACGGTGGTGTCCGTTTCTCCATACGACTTCTGGTTTGTCCGGAAAACACAAAAAAGCAGAAAATTGAAAAATGTGGACAACTTCTTTCTCTATTTTTCTGCTGCGATTCTGCTCTTTTTTTGGCCAAAAATCACCCCAAAAAACATGGATTTTACCTCCACCCAAGCTCTGATACCAATTGTTAGGATTTTTAAAGCTCCAATCACACCAAACCGAGCTCAAATAAACCACCAATCGACACCACCAATGACAAACGAATTTCCAAGTACAACACCCAACCGGTTGCTACGGTTTGCCCAAAAAGGACAGGTCACGGGTCGCCCACAAAGGGCAGGTGTAGAGAAAATAATAGTCTCAATGTTTAACCACAAAGGAAGAAGAAGAAGATGGTCAAGCACAAAGCAAAACCAGGAAGCACCAAGCCAACGCTCCTCTCTCTCATGGCTATATTTTTCTCCCACACCCAACAACACAAGAAATGGGCTGCATA